TCGTCCACAGGGACCACCCATCAGGAAAGGACCTTGGAATCCATGAGTCAGAGCACGAGCGAAGAGACAGAAAGTAGTACGCCCATGGTGGGAAGCAGCATGCCCAGCATCACGGTGTTGCCCGGAAGCACTCGCGAGGTCAGCTTGCCCTCCAGGTTGCCCTCCAGTTTGCCCTCCAGCTTCTCCCCCTCCACAGCCCATGAGTCCAGTCAAACCACTGGTGTGCCCACTTCTCCTCGGAGCACAGCAGAAGTGACTTCCACTCCCCCACCGGTATCGTCAACACCTCTTCCATCGACATCTGCCAGAGAGCCCTCTTCCCGCTCGAGGGTGACGGCGCCTTCAAGTGGGAGCCCAACCACAAGCCAGGAGGCCTTACTTCCGGCAACTTCCAGCACCCCCAGGCCTTCCCCGCAAGAGAGTCCCGAAACCCCTACGCTTCCCATCACTTCCTCGGTCACCGCAGGCCCGCAGCTGGTCTCGTCTGGCACCACGGAGTCACCCACTACGTCTTCTCCGACTGCGGAGCAGCCAAGCACAACGCGGGCCTCTTCCCCTCGCCTTTCGTCCACAGGGATCACCCACCAGGAAAGGACCTTGGAATCCACAAGTTGGAGCACGAGCGAAGAGACAGAAAGTAGTATGCCCACGGTGGGAAGAAGCGTGCCCAGCACCACAGTGTTGACCAGAAGCACTCGTGAGGCCAGCTTGCCCTCCAGCTTGCCCTCCAGGTTCTCGCCCTCCACAGCCCATGAGTCCAGTCAAACCACTGGTGTGCCCACTTCTCCTCGGAGCACAGCAGAAGTGACTTCCACTCCCCCACCGGTCTCGTCAACCCCTCCTCCATTGACATCCGCCACAGAGCCGTCTTCCCGCTCGAGCGTGACCGTGCCTTCCAGTGGGAGCCCAACCTCAAGCCAGGAGACCTCACTTCCGGCAACTTCCAGGTCCCCCAGGCCTTCTCCGCAAGAGAGTCCTGAGACCCGCACGCTTCCCATCACTTCCTCGGTCACCGCCAGCCCGCAGCTGGTCTCCTCTGGCACCATGGAGTCACCCACTATGTCTTCTCCGATTGCGGAGCAGCCAAGCACAATGTCGGCCTCTTCCCCTCGCCTTTCGTCCACAGGGACCACCCACCAGGAAAGGACCTTGGAATCCATGAGTCGGAGCACGAGAGAAGAGATGGCAAGCAGCACGCCCACGGTGGGAAGAAGCGTGCCCAGCACCACGATGTTGACCAGAACAACTGGTATGGTGTCTGTTCTTCCTGCCTCCTTGAGGCATTGTATTTAGGAGAGTCATGCAAGATCTGTGTTTTTCATGAATTCTTCTTGTTCCCAGAAGGGGTCCTCAGAGTCTAGTTGAGGTCATCTCCCTTCATCTAGTTTGGCATGGATGTGTGTGTTTTAAAAAACTCTGTCATCCAGTACAGAGAGCATTGGCAAAGGTAGAGCCATTCCTGTCCTTTCATGCGCAATCCCTTCCCGAGGCACCTCTTCCTATCTGTCCTAGAAATGTACCTATTACATGTTTATAGACAGTCACTATTTGAAACTCCAGATCTGTCTCAGTATCAGGGAGTGCAAGATCAACTTTTTTCTTTTCCCCCTGTGCTCATTATTGAAGTCTGGTGATCTCTTTGGTTTGAGAATAGTTTCTGACTCTTCCCTTTGGAAACTTTCTGTATAAGAACATTTACTCATAGCGTACAATATGATCTACTTCTAATTCTGACTTGAGATGATATGTTTATGATTTGGTTTGTTCTTATGTGTGGGGGGGTTTATGTCTTTTGTTTAGTAACTCATACTGGGTAATGCTTTAAATGATTTCTTGCTGTTTGTTTTCTTTGTTTTGGCTTTTTTTATCCTTTCTTGTGAAGCTTCTACCACTGAAATTATTCCCCCCAAATGCTTGAATGGAGGGGTTCCCATTGGGGATCGCTGTCAATGTCCGTCGCCTTATATAGAGCCATTTTGCAAAGAGGCAAGGAATGAAGTAGTTGTGAGTAAGTTCTCTTTTCTGCTCTTCTCAATTTCCTTGGTTGTGGTGCTGGGTGCTAGGGCACCCAATTTTCATCTGGAATTCATGGCAGGCCCTGCTGGAACACACCCGTATCGTAGCAGCTTCAGAGCTTCTCTCAGTCGATGACATGGACAGCGGGTTTAGTAGAAGGCAGCTGTCCCTGTTGCTGTAAGGAAGCCCATGAAACAATTGGGATTCTTATTTCTTTGCACTTGTATATACTTATATCCTGCCAGAATCCCCAAACCCTGGGTGGTTTACAACATAAGAACATACAATTCAGATAAAAAATGGAAAATGGATCAGATACGTCGGAATCTATTTGGGTGGGACATCTGGTGATTTTAAAATCCTCTGCAGTCAATTGTTGTCCTATTGATAGTTTAAGGCATGTTTTGAGTGATTTGCCCCAATATATGTATTTATTTATCAGATGTGTAAAGGTGCCTGACCCCATAATGACTCTCTTGTCAGAAGTCTATACTGTTGGAATAAGTTTTTTTCCAGCCTATATGTGATTTTGAAGGCTGATGACAATCCTGCTGACTTTGCAGGCTATGGGGTAATTTCCTTGTTAAAAGCATGGCTTGTAGACAATGTGACCTTCAGTTATTTATCCTGTACCCCCTGCTTTTATAAATGTTTGTCAAAGGTCGGATAGTATTAGATTACTAGATGACATTCTGGATATACATGCAGATAAAATGAAACCAGCAAGGAGCATTTTGCTGGATGTGGAAGACCTTGTAGGGGGAGAGCCGTGTTAGTTTATGATGGCATAAAATCAGGAGGACTCTGGGAGTCGCTTTCTCGACGAGCCGAAAGGAGCTGCTGCTGCTGCTGAAAGCTTCTGCCTTTGGATGAATGTGCTAGTTGGAAAAGATGCTCTCGGAGGGCTTCTGACTGGGTGTGGAAAAGACCTTGGATTTGAGGTTTTGGCCAGAACTGAGTAACAGAGAGTTATGTTCATCTGTAGCTAATCAAATAGCTAATGGTCTTAAAAATATTAAATAACAGTTTTTATCAGACTAATTCAGCTAAAGATTTATTTATTTATTTAAAAGGTTTCTGTAAAAAGTGCCACTCTGGGTGGCATATAGTAAAAAACAAAATTTCAATGAACAAAAACAGCAGAAAGCTTACTGGATTCCCCAGAGAATGTTTTTTAAAAGGTGGGCTCTCCTCCTACAAGGTCTCCCACATCTAGCAAAATGGATATTGGAAGCATAAAACAAATTAGGGCCCCCCTGCTCATGTGGGCTTGTCCTGCTGTTGCTGTGCTTTGGCTTAATATCCCTAAGACCGTTAAAATGTGGTCAGAAAGATCAATGAGGTTTGAAGATGTGAATGTGCTCTTGAAGTAAATACCAAAAACTTGAAACGTTATTCTATTAAGAAATGTAGGTTTATTAAGCTGGGGTCAGGGGCAACAAAGATTACTCTTCGGTGTTAGAAAGTTAGTGTGATAGCTTTATGCTGTTGGATAACTCTTTTTTCTTACAAATTGGGTCTTTACGAGAGTAGTAGAAAGACAGGTCAGTCTTATACTGTCTGGCCAAGTTTTAATGATGTGTTTAAAAATTAGGCTGGATTAAGAAATAAAGGTGAGAGGAAAAAAAATAAAAAGAACACAAAGGCAAACAAAGGAGAAAAAGACACAAGGAAACAGCTAAAATATAGGAGTCTTTATGTAGCATGCTTTAGCTGCGTCCTTTTGCCTTTCTCTCCCTTGTTTGCACTTTTTCCTCTTTTACATCTTTATTTCTTCCCCTCCCCCCACCCTCACTTTGTGTATTCAAACAATTTAAAAAATAATCCTGTATATTTCTACTCAGAAGTAGAAAGATGTTCAGAGTGTCTATGTAACCTATCTGGAAAACCTTTAGTAGGGCCATGATAATCAGTAAAGGTAGTGTATTTATTAAAATGCTTCACCGCCAGTATTAAAACATACCCTTCTGGATCACTTATTTCTTCTTCCACCACAAATTTGGAGCGCGTGTTCACCGAAGCGCATATCAGAAACGAACAGCATTCCACCGTGGTGCTGTGAGAGGAAATCTGCGGAGGGTCTGGGTGGGAGAGAGGCTGAAGGTGAGCCCAGACGAACGGGCATTGTCTGCCCATCACAGCTCTCCGTCTGGCCCGGGGGGTCTCCTGAGGAGACAGCGCTGCTCTCAGGGGTCTTCCTGGACTTCTGCTGCGCCTGCTACAGAAGGTTACGGTGCTGCCTGGCGTGGGAAGCCTTGTTATGATGACTTAGCCTTCATTCCCACTCGCCTGGACTACTGCAGTGCGCTGTACAATGGCCTGCCTTAGAAGACCACTTGGTCCAGCATGCAGGGGTCTGTGAGGTGGTGGGTGCTCAGGCTATGGCCCCAGTTCTGCAGGTTTCCAGGAGCAATCGAAAGGGCTGGTTGTCCCCTTCAAAGCCTGCATGGCCTATCCATTCAGAGTGAGGGAGGGAGCTTGAAGGAAGGAATGCCAAGGTCCCGACCCCATGGGAGGAGAGGGTGGCGAGGCGATGCACTTTCCCGGTGGCAGCCCATGCTCTTTGGCACACCCTGCCTCTGACGGAAAGGGACCCTCCCGCCCCTGGCTATGAAAATGTTACTGTTCAAGGGCGTGTGGGCACTGAAGGTGCAAGGGTGTTTACGGGAACATTGTTTTTATGGGCTTATTCTTCAGGTGGGTGCATGGGCATCAGAGGTACCAGGGCGTTAACTGGATTTCTGTTTTTATGAGTCCATTGTTCTTTGACTGTAAACCAGTCTTTTGGGGAGTGGTGGTCTATAAACGATTGAATCAGTAAATAAACCCACTTGATTACAGCCTGAACAGTTAGGCAAGGGGCGGGAAGAGGGGGGAAGCATGTGGGCATTTGTTTGGAGACACCCTGATTCTTTAATTCTCCTGTGCTTTCTGGCAGAGATGGTCAACGCTACAATCAACGTCTTTGTCAAAGTGATCAACATGGAGTTTAAACCAGGGATGGCGACTCCTGGCACTGACGATTTCCTGTCCTTTGTCGCGCGCTTTGAGGGACAGGTGAAGAGGGTGTCTGGTGTGGCATGGCATGGCGTGGCGTGAAGAGACACCAATGCTCTGCTCACAGCCCCCAGATCCAGGGCTGCTCTCGGCCTGTCCCGGGAGCCGGGGCGTGAAGCCGGGGCGATAATGGCCAGGCACACCTGCCGCTTAGATGCAGCCCTGTTCAGAGGCGATCTGGTCAAGGGCACTCCTTCCCCCTATGCCTGGGGACGGGCGTGGGCTGGGAGAGGCAGGAGGTGTCCTCTGCAGGGCTGGTCCTTCGATCTTTCCCGACTGTTGATTGGGCTTTGGGGCAGGCAGACATTCCCCACACCTGACACCACAGATTTGGTTTTGAACTGGATGAAGGCTGAAGATCGGCCTGTTTGTTCTTGTTCTCATTCTGGACAATCAGGAAAGTTCAGACCCGTTGCTGATCAGGCTTGAGGCGCCCTGTAATTGGGGTGGAGGCGTTGGCTTCTGCCTCTGCCCTCTTGGTGGGTGCAGAACACTGGAAGGACTCAGGCTTGCTTAAAGCCCCCCCGGCAGCTTTGGGGTGAGATGGCGCCCCTTGGGATGGGCAACAGCCTCTCTGCACATCCTCAGAGCTGCTTTCGTAAGGATGGTGTCTCACTTCCTATTGCCCCTTCTACGATTGCCCCTTCTCTCTCTCCCTGTGCAGATGAATATTTTCTACGCAGACGTTCCTGGGTACCAGCGTGTGATTCTGACTCGCCTGAGGTGAGCTGTGTGAGAATAAGGACGGGGCACCGTTTGGCGGAGACAGTTGCTGCCTTGTCCACATGGCTTCCCCCACCCCTCCTTGGGCAAAAGCCCCACCCTGGGTAGCAGGCACCTTGCCCCAGATGCTCTTGTAAGCCCACTGCCCAAGACCCACATCGTCTCTCAGGACTTGGGACAGAAGCACGAAAGCCAGCAGGCCCGGCTTGTCCCGTCTCGACATGGTGAAGAAACAGTTTTCCCCCCTTTTCTTTTCAGCAACGGCAGCATTAACGTGGACCACGAGGTGGTCCTGCGGCTGCGGTTCTCTGAATTCAATGCGTCCTACGCTACAGCCAAGGAGAGAATTTACCAGCAACTGCACAACGGAGCACCGGTAATATGGTCCTCTGACGACAAAGGTGAGTGCGCATTTGCGGCTCAGCCCTGCTGCCGCCAGCAGCCCTGAGTGCGAGGGACTTGCTCTCCGCCAGCTGGCCCCGGACAAGGCGGCCACCTGATTTCCTTGTCTGGCTCCTGGTGGAGAAGCGAAGGCAAGCCGGCAAACCCTAACCCCGCCACGTCAGGAGCACGATCAATGGGGCTGTGGGAGAGTCTGGACCTCCCCCCCACATGCTTCTTCTCCTCCTGAGATGGGAGGAAAATGTGTTGATCGGACAATTGTGCAAAAAGGAGCGGCAAAGGGGCAGTGGGGGCTGCTTTGCTGCTGCTGCTGTTGGGAGAGTACGGAGCAGGGAGGGGGCTGTTCTCCTCTCCCCCCTTCCCCCCAGCTGGCCTTTCTTGGTCTGCTCCCCTTTGCCGCCCCTGTTGGCGGTGCTCCCTGGAGGAGGCGAGAGGGGTGGGACCCAGGCAGGGGTGGAGGTGGGGATCAGGCTACAGGGCTCGGGGGGCGGGGGGCGTTGAAGAGACAGCCGGTTGGAAGAGCAACCTCCGGCAGGCGTTGCTCCAACATTCCCCAGGCCTGGGGAAAACCCGCTTCCTGGGGCAGCTCTGGTCTCCCTGGCAGCCAAGGCAGAAACAGCCATGGAGGCTGGGTTGGAGTGGCAGTCCTGCAGGTGACTGGCCTCGCTCCTTTGACCTAGAGCATTGGCATAAGAGGTCCTCTTCCATTTTCACCTGGAAAGCACCACTTCCTTGGTCTGCCTCAGAAGCAGGCTGGCCACAAAAGCGAGGCCTCCTTGTACGGTCTGACCATCGCCCCCAACGCAGGGCTAATGTCTGGGCAGGGAAGGGGTGCAGATGCCCTCCTCTTCGTTGTGGGGGGGACACAAGGACGCTCCTGAGAACCAGGGAAGGTCCTGCAAAGGCCGGGTGCTTCCAGCCGACAGCCTGGAGCCGCAGCTGGGGTTTGGTCTGCCTTCTGGCGGCCTGTCTGCGCAAGGGTCATGACTCCTGCACGAGCGATTTAGGTGATCTTGAAGCGCGGACAGTTTCTTGGGCCTGATTCTCTTGCGGGGAGCTTCCCTCTGTTCGGTTCTCCTCTGGGAGCTCTGCCTGGACCGGTGCCCATGGAAGAGTCGGCTTCCCAGTGGCCATAGAGAGTCTTTAATCACCTGCTCCCCTCTTTCAGAACGGCTGTGTTTTAAGTCAGAAGACTCTGTTGTGACCTCCGTGCCACTCAGCCCTCAAGGTGAGACCTGGTCCACGTGCATGTGTGTGCGCGTGTGAGAGAGAGAGAGAGGGTGACGCCTGGTGCCCTGGGAACCCTCCTGGGCACCGAGGGGGGCATGAGAGAAGCAGCAGGCAGATGGGAGCAGAGGTGGCAAGGCGGGCCCTTCTGCAGAAGGTCTCAGTGGGGCGCATTTTAACTGCAGGAGAATGAAGAAACACCCCTGGGCAAGAGCTGGGTCTCCTATAACACGGAGCTTGGCCTCTCTGATCGCCTCCTGGGAGGGACTGGGGATGGCTGTCTGGCGTTTCTGGGGCAAAAGCTTCAGCGGACTGCTGGGTCCCTGGAGGCCCCCTGGGCTGGAAGGTCGTGGCTGGGGCGTTGCGATTGGGGTGGGTGCGTCGGTCCTCGGCTGACTGTGCTGCTCTCCTCCACCCCGCTAGACTTGTCCAAAGTGTGCAAGAACGACTCTGTGATCGTGCGGAAGCTCCAGCCATACTACGTGGCCCGAAACGTTAGCAACCGGCTGGAGTGTGTCTCCAACTGCAGCTTTTGGCACCCGGAACCATTTCTCTGTGAAAACGGAAACTGCTACATTCAGACAAATGGGCCAAACTGCTAGTGAGTAGGCACGGGGCGGCTGGATCAGAGGCACGTAGGTCCAAGCCCCCTGCCACGCCATTAAGCCGACCTATCGAACTCCCTTCGGAAAGCCTAGCGCGCTTCCTTGGGCAAAAAATATCAGGAGCCCCTGCCCCTTCCTCGTGAGAGGGGAGCGGAGGAAAAGCCCCAAGGCCTGCCGGTGGGCTTCAGCCCAGGCTCTCGGACCCCACTCGGGCCGACGGGGCTTGGGAGCAGGGGTCGCCTGGGAGGGTGGGGGGACAGCCCGGCCAACCGGGAGACAGAGCCCCCGGGACCTTTAAGGAGCACATCTGAAAGGGTGCTGCCCAGAGAGGCCCCTGCGGAAAAGCGGCTGCCCGGGCAGATGCTCTCGGCCAAGATGGCTCTTCTTGCAGCGCTCCCCCCAGCACGCTTCCCCGGGTGCCTTGGGAGCAAAGCCGTGTGGACCGTATCGGGGCGCCCTGATGGGCTCTTGAAGCCCCGGACTTACCCAAGCTCGGTTCCTCCCGCTGCCCCTCTGGCGAAGGAAAACGAGAGTGGACTGCCCCCTCCTGCGTCTGGCCTCACGGCCACGCGTGGGGCAGGGCATCCGTGGCGCTGCCCACCCCAGTGCCCCACTCGACCGGAGTCGGTTGGGGCGGGTGGCTGTGCTAAGCGAAGTGCAGTGAACACAAGACCGAAAGCCTCCCGCGCAGGACGAAGGCCGCCCTCCCGCCAGGCCCGTGACTCCGACTTTTCCCCCCCAGCTGCGAGCAGTCGGACG